TTGACGGAGATCGAGAGATTGATTATCACAGAATAAGAAAAATGAAGTTATCTGTCATCGAAAAAATCAAAAAACGAGTTGCGTAACTTTTCCGGCAAAAAACTTCGAATTTCTATGTTGCAACATCTGTTAGAAAATTTTATTCAAAAAATCTGTTCATATTATTAGTTGTTATAAAATGACAAAATCTTAATTCTAAGATTAAAGATAAATTGTATTTTTTAAATATTGTAATTTGTAATAACAAGTAAAATCTTCATATTTTTAAACATTTTTGGGGGTTCGGGAAATCTTAAAACGTGAAAGTTTCCAAAAGCTGAGGGTCAAATTTGACACGATTTTTATACTTTCGCTTCTTACAAGATCCGGAAGTAAGAGAAGTTTAAACTTATTCTAATTGCAAAAAAGAAAAGACAATCAACGAGCAGATATTTATTGTGACATGGTCACAATGTCGGGCTGCACGTTTTCATTATATTATTCTTTTAATAATTTAAAATGAACCCGAAATTAGTAGTGGATTGCCCGTGTACATTATACTTTTCCTGTTAGAAATAGGATCGTGTTGTTTACGTATCTAACTTCTTTCAGAGAAAACTTTCTGAATATAAAAAAATAAATAAGATGTGAAAAACTTAAAGCCTCGTAGCTGTAGTTTTACACATTTAGTCTCGACTTTCTCCTATGTAACACTGTTGTCTAAATTAAGAAAAGACTGCCAAACAGTCGTACAGACTAAGTGGAAATTTATAAGTTAATTTTCAAATTGAAGCCCAATTCTTAATAAACTATTTTTTACATATTTAGGCTATATCATATCAGATTTACATAATTGGGCAGGATAAATCTATATATATAAAAATGAATGTATGTGTGTGTGTGTGTCCTTCATGCATTACCACACCGTTTATCCGATTGCCGTGAAACTTTGGGAAGTTGTTTAATATACTCCAGCGAAGGTTTGTGGCATAGTACGATTGCCATGAAGCTTTGGGAAGTTTTTTAATACACTCCCGCGAAGTTTTCTGGCATTTACCTTACGATAGATGGCGCGCGTTTACACGAGCATTCGCGCACAGTGTGTTCGATCGATTTCAAATTGTAAAGACCATTGACCAACTTCAAAAATATCTCTATATATGCATTTGTTAAACTGTTATTTACGATATTTATAATAATTTTTTTTAATCACTTTGATTGTTGCTGCTTCCCTCGTGTTACATAATTTTTTTTTAACCGAAAGCAGCACAACATACTNGTAGGAGGAAATTCGCCTATTTTACCGATCTAGGGATCCCCTTTTCCAAATTTTAATATCGACTCAAAATAATTTAAAAAGACAAATTACGATAAAACGGTTTATTATCCAACTCTCAGAAATTTCAAAACGTGCCAAGGAAGAGAGGAAAGAGCAATTAAATAATTAAAATTATAAAGGATTAAAAAATATATATATAAAAATGGGGAATATCGCACTTCTGACAATCGCTGCGAGTGTATGGGCTGAATTTAGAGAATCCGTGTTTCTTGCACGGACAACTGTATGAGGCCCGCTCACGCTTCGGAAAACCTGATTTATTCGTGTACACACCAGGCGGAAAAACATAAAATATCGTGTATCCACAAACACTCCAATAAATACATAGAATTGAAACGACATTTTGAAATGTTTTCCCAATGAAAATGAATAATAATAATAATAAGTTTCAATAAAAATGATAAAATGTAAATTGAATTTTATCATAACGAGTTTGCTTGAATTTCCTTTCTTCTGAGATCGCAGCAATGCGCGACGGATAAGCTAGTTGTATATAATTGCAGGATAATAACCGGAATTCAAGTTGTTTGAATTCAAAATTTTTCTTGGAAAAGTGTTAAATAGATTACAGACAATACTATTTAAAAGAAACTACTTAGTAGGCTATATTTTAAAAAATATTATTTAGTAAGCGTGTTTTTATGCTAAAGTTTATAGAAAAACAAATGAAAAACTTAAAGATCAATCTGTCTAATAGTATGACGTAATCTTCTATTATTTCAGATAAATATTAAAGGAAAACCAATTTCCACAGACAACACAAAGGAATCCACTACTTGGAGTCATTCTGGTTATAAAATCGAAAGAGGTAAGAAGCTTAATGCTTTTAATACTATAAAAGTATCTTTCTATTGATAAGAATAATAGGTAATACACAAATTTATATTAATATAAATCGAAATGATAACATTTGATAAACGTTGCGAATACGTTGTGTATAGCGAATAAGGATTTAAATATAATTTAATATTATCAATAATATTTAATTCAGTTGATAGAATTAAAACTGTCAATTGAAACTGTCAATCTTACAACAGAGAAAAGTCTAATTTAGATGTTTTATATTTCAATGAAACGAGCAATTATTTATTATGACATTGTCACGATGACATGCTGCAATTTATAATCATATTTTTAATATATTTAATTTAAAATATATGCTAAATATATGCTCTTCATCTCAGATTAATAGTGGCTTTGCCTCTGTACATTATACTTTTCCTTTGACAATGGAGTTTTGCCGGTCATTTATTAACTGTTTTCACCAGAAAAGATTTTAATTGAAATAAGGTGGTTTCGATCTTCATTAAAAGTTCGTACACTGTTAATCGGTTTCTCAATTTTTTTCAAATTATGGCCCAATTATAATACTAAATTCGATTTTTTTAAACAAATACTGAAGAAGTCTGTTGATGTATTCTATTGTTTTTATCGATAAACTGATCTGTACTTTCAAAATTTAGCCTTTTTCGTATTATAATAATTAATGATATAAAACGACTTTTTATTTAAAATCTCATAACAGATGGCGCCATAACCAATTGTAACATTTTTCTGATAAAGTTCCGTAACTCTTTCTCAAATTTTGTTTATTTTCAAATTAAATTCTAAATAATAATGTGCAATGCCATAACATTACACATTTTTTTTTTTTTGCTTATGAAAGCCAGTACCACAGTGAAAATAAATTATCCATCGTTAGCAAACTAGATACATAAACACATCACTGAAAAGCTCCATCCAAGTTATTTTTTACCTTAGTTATTAAGTACCTGTGCATATAATATTAATTTAAGATTAAGAAAAGCATCCTGGAACCACTTCTAATTAGATAGGGATTGTATTAATCATGGAATAAACGTTATCTGTTGACCTACGTACTAAGCAATATGTGCTTGTAAGGAATGTTGGAATGCCATGAGGAGAGGATATTTCTTGATACAGAATACACGTGAGAATAAATCCCTGTACACATAGATTATACTTATACATTATTTGCGTCGAAAGAAGTTATTATTGCATATAGACTTATGTATTATATATGAAAAAAAGTGTGAGGAAGTGACACGCAGATTCGTAAATCATTGTGCAGTACATCGTACATACGTCTGAATTTTCAGACATAAAATTATCAACGTCGAGAAATAGAATATTGTAAGGTATTTTATATTTTTATGCTAATGGAGAGTCAGAACGTCCGGAAATGGGAAAACACCGGAATATCGAACTTTGATTGATCAACGTTAGTGTGTGTGGAGTTCTTCAATCTTTTTTAAAGTTTAATAATTACTTTTTGTCGAAAATTTCTTAAAATTAGAAAAAAAAGGTTTGTTTATTAAAGAGCTTGATGCTTTTAAATTTTTGTGATTATAAGTAAAGGAGATAAATAGATAATCCGGGTCGTGTGTAACACTGTAACTTCAGTAGGGTCGNAAGACATACTTTTATACAAAATATTATCTCATGTCAATGATTTAATGCATTTAATTAAAATATACGTAGCAATAATCATGTTGCAGACAGAGTGAAAAATAAGTAAACAGCAATTCAAATCATTGTGCATGCTCGCCTGTGCGGCACATAAATTCTCGTGCACGACAACAATTTGAGCAGTGCGCGGCCGCGCAGCTTAGAGGGAACTTTGACTATATCTCGACCCTTTCGATTTTGATCGAACCTTGAAACTTTCGATCGTAGTTTAGACAATGATGATTTCTCTCCTGCCATCCAAGAATTTTCCCTCGTTAAAACGTTTCGTTTACCTGGTTTATTTTTCCAATTTTTCACCTGTTTTACGAGCGACACAATCAGGATTCGAAGTTACCTCTATGACATATATATATATATAAATGTTATGAGGTAACATTGAATATATATATATAAATTATAACACGTGTGCTCCAGCCTAAATAAAGACTTGATTTATTTACATTCGCTTCACTTCTATTTTATACATTTTCTTCTACATAATATATAATAAACTATATTTTAGCAAGTTTAAAGAAGGGTTGAAAATTATTTTGACATCGTTATAATGTTGGGCATTTTTTTATTATATTTTAATTTAAAAAATTACAAGGCTGCTAGTCTAGGCCGGAAGTTCGTGTAAAGTTACTTGGTATTTCAAACACTCACTTCCGTATCTGGTCTCGATTTTCCTATACTGTATTTAACTCCGTTCTTGAGATTAAGGAAGGGTGAACGAACAACAGTGCGAACCACAATACCGAATTTTGTAATCCTACAGATATCAACGAATAAAAGTATACTAAATAGCCTATTTGCTAAGCATCGAATTTCGGTAGATGATTATATTTGTAGTATTAACATCTCTTACATAAAAATTATTATACAAATAAATAACACTGCAATAATACATATTCTGTAATTTCTACAGAACGAAGTGTAAGACTTTAATATAAAAAACAATAATTGAACCGAATAAATAGTAAAAATACAAAAATGTAGTAAAATTTTATTTAAAATTATGTTTATATTGTTTTAAAGAACATTTCGAATGAGAAATAAAGTTTTAATTTAAGAGAAAAGCAGAGTATTTTAACATTCGATATTGCTTGCATACTATCATTTCCCTTGCTGACAGCTTGGGGTGTTTGTGTCACGTGATCGAAGGGACCGGTTCAAGGAGTCAGTGAAACTACTTGTCGCTTATACTATGATATATTAGATAGTTGGACAAAGAACCGTCGGTTGGTACATACGTTGAGACCAGCGGGTGGAGGATACGTAAATAGTAGGTAGGTTAGATACTAGCTTTCTTAATTGGTATTTAGTAGAGGTTATTGGCGGCGTAGAACTGGTTATATAATGTTCGAGTTCGGAATCCTTGGTCTAAAACTAGGTGGTAATAAACTGGTCATGGTCGGCGAACTTTCAATGGCGGATCAACTCTCGATGATGAGACCGCGAGCTAACTTGTTGTCTTCGATTTTTCGCTTTTATTTGGAGGTCCTCCGCTTTTCTTCTCATGCCCATCTTTATAAATACATATATGTGTATATATGAATATGTAAATAATCGCTTATAACATCGCTTATTATAGTCGATTGTTGTATTAATAAGTAAAGCATCTAATAGACACTATTCTAAACAGATGTAAACTGACCTACATTCGGCGAAGTCCACCACCCATAGTGGAAAGAGGGGACATAAACAATACGTTTGTAATCAAGGCTGTAAATTTCACCACGTTGCACTGTTTGTTCGAAAGGAAAAAAAATATATATTTTCAAGTTATAAACATTGCAAATTAATCGGTACTTTCTGAAAAATATATTTTTCGAAAATTTGTAATTTAACTATTATTAAAAATTTAACCATAGTAAACAGATATGTTTATGATAGAAAATAAAAAATAGATCAATTTTAATAAACCTAACGGTGTTAATTGACAACAGTGAATTATAAACACTAATTTGGATTACTATGCATAATTATAAACAATACAATTGAATTTATTTTCCTGTTGGAATCAATCGTAAAAAACAGACAAATAAACTTTGGCGCGTTATAACTTCATGGGACCAGGGAAATTTAAATTAGGAAGGGCCACGTAAAGTTTATTTATTAGTATTTTGATTAATTAATGATTACTTTTAATGATATATTAAACTTTCGTTTATATTTTTTTGAAAATTTCATACAGTAATATCCTTAAATTTAACTCGAAATTCATAAGTTTGAAGAATAATTTACCTTCACTACGTAAAAGTGCTTGTTATCCGAAAGGAAGTGAAGCGAAAGCAATGACTTAAATTAACCTTTGATTTCTTTAAAAATGTAAAATACAGTAAAATAGAAAGCAGATTTAAAGTAGAATCACACATAAACTGTGTGTGATTCATGTTTATTTACAATAATATAATCCAAGAAAAAAATTTTGTCAGGATATTTGGAAAATTAGCAGAAGCTGCTCTACAAATTCAATTCTTTTATTGATAAATGGTAATGAGTCAGAAAGTTTTAGATTTTAACGAAAACTTAATTTTTAATTACAATTCAGAGGTGGATTCCAGGAACAATAATTGTTCACCATATATCACATGGGTTTTCGTAGGTACGAACTTTCACGCCAGTTGGTGACGTGCTACTCCTAGACTTTCTTGAGTGCACGCTAACAATAGAACTGAGTTTACTTGTCGGTCTTTGTTACTCGCTCTAAAATTCGAGTGAAATTAATGTGGATATTTATTATTTGATATTGATTGATAACATTTTATTCAAGAAGGAGAGGTAAATGTTTTCTATTATATAAATTTCATTTATTTATTTATGCAAATATAAATTCAAACTCGACGGTTTCAAAATCTTTCATTGAAAACAGATTGTTGACGTACAAGAACATTTTAAACTGAGAAAATAAAGGTAAAAGTAAAGCCAGAAAATGAATATTCAGAATTTATATTCAACGAAGGTGATGAAAAGTTTGAAGTTTTAAATAATTGCAAGACAGAATTTAATACGGATACGAAAACATTCTGTAGAAGAATTAAATCTGAACCTTTACAACATAAAAATATACAGGTGAGTAAAATGTACTTTTGTATACGACTCTAGCGTTGCTTTAAAATGTGTTCGGGACTTAAGTCCCTCCAGTTTTAAAATAGGGGGACTCTACTCAAGGTCGCTCCTATTTTCGATAAAATCATTTAGAGATGGACGATCATCACAAAATAAAAAACCTAAACTTATTCTTTAACAAAATAATCTAGCAACGAGTTGCGTAACTTTTCCGGCAAACAAACTTTAAAATTGTATGTCGCACTCTCTGTTAGGAAATTTTATTTAAAAACATTTTTATACTATTAGTTTTTATAAAATGGCAAAAAGCTTAATTTCGAAAGTACAGATAAATTTTATAAAAAAATTGTAAATTATAATAACAAGTAAACTCTTCATTTTTTAATTTTTTTGGGTTGACAAAGTCTTTACCGTGGAGATTTCCGAAAACTGGGGGTCAAATTTAACAAAATTGTTATACGTTCACATTTCATACGCATATAAGATTTATTCTAATTGTAAGACGAGTTACAAGAGCTGAAACTTATTCTACTTGCATAAAACAAAATACAATTAACGAGCAATTATTTATTGGTACATGGTCACAATGCCGTGCTATTTTTAATGATATTTTTAATTTAATTTAAAATATATGCTCGCCACCTGAAATTAGTAGTGGATGCCCTGTATATTATACTTTTCTTGTTAGTAATAGAGTCGTGCTGTTTCTGTATTTCAGGGAAGAGAGTCAAACAGGTAGAGAAGACGATAACCGACGAAAGGGGGAATTTATAGGTTTACAATTTTTTAAATTGCCGCCCAGTTATTAATAAACTATATTTTACATATTCATATAATATCAGACTCATATAATTGGGCTGAAATTTGAATAGATTGTAGACAATTAAATTTCCACTGTCGTCCGTCCGGCTGTCTGTTTTTCCCCAATCTCGAGAACGGAGTTACATGGATACCGAGACCGGATATGGAAACCATAAAGAAAGGAAGTCTCGATTAACTATATATAAACTTTCGACGCAATCCGAAACTCCCGTTATTTGAATTCAAATTTTCTCTTGAAACGGCGAGACTCTACTGTCAAAGGAAAAGTATGATGCACCGGCGCAAGCTACCACTAATTTAAGGCAGAGAGTATTTATTTTAAATTAAATTAATTAAAAATATGATTAAATATGCAGCCCGGCATTGTCATTGTGTCACAATAAATAATTGCTTGTATTGTGAATGAATTTGTATAATCGCACAATGAAAATAATGAAACTAAAACGTTAGTAAACCATAATTTAAATGTTTTTAAATGAATTTTTATGTTCCAATTTAAATACCTTTCTTATCAATTTTTCTATAAAGAAGTATTGGTCTGATAATATAATGTAGTCTTTTATTATTGCAGATAAATATTAAAGGAAAGTCAATTTCCACGAACAACACAAACGGATCCACCATTTGGAGTCATTCTGGTTATAAAATCGAAACAGGTAAGAAGCTTAATACTTATAAAAGTATGTTTCTACTAATAAAAAAATATATAATACGTAAAATAAAAATGTTACATTTATATTACACATTGAATAAATGGAAATGTAACATTTGAAAAAGTTTGCGAATACGTTGTGTATAATGAATAACAATTTCAATACTTTTTAATATTATAAGTAACATTGCTAATTTAGATGTTTTAGAAAACGAAACGAGCATTTGTTTATTGTAACATCGTCCCAACACCAAGCTGCAATTTTTAATTGCAGCTTTGTGTTGTTTACCTCAATTAGTAATGAGTTGCTCCGTGCATCATACTTTTCCTTTAACAATCGTGCCATTCATCTCGCTAACTGTATTCAGGGAAAAAGTTTGAATTGAAACAACGTTACATTTTTTAGAAAACGGAAGATAGTTATCCAGTTATCCAGACATCTTGCTTTTATGGTTTCCATACCTGGTCTCGACTTTTATCTTCCTAACTCCGGTCTCGAGATCAAGGAAAGACGAACACAGACGGATGAAAGTGGAAATTTATGTCTAAAATTTTTTGAAATTGCAGCCCAACTCTATCATAGAATTCAATTTTCTTTTAATAAAAAGTGAAAGAGTCTGTTTATATTATTAT